AGCTTGAAGTGTCGTAAATCAAATAAGGATAACATGTCATGGGTACATGCCACTGCCTGTATCTACGACAATGCATGAAATAGAAAATATGTTATTATAAAACTGAAACACTGGCACCTAATGATTCTGGCTGGAACTTTGTAGAAATATTTTTGATTTTGCCCGAACATGAAATGTCTTCATAGGTCAGACGCCATTGTGTCTACCCTCTACCGGAGAGTGCGGGGGAAGCATTGACTCACTCCAACTGCCCACGGTTATTATTAGATGCTCATCAGTTTTAGTGCGGGAAGCAGCTGCCTATGAGAGCTGTATCCCACCCTTTGGTAAAATGGGAACCAATCCATACTGTGCTACTTCCAACAAAAAGACCTACCGAATCTATCGACCAGCCGATCACTTCATCCCACTTTTCCACATATAACAAATCTGGAGGGCCCTCAACAGGATCCGCAAGATGCTTATCCAACCAGTCGCCCACACAATAGTTTCTGAAACGGCGGCTACGCTCGCTATTGACCGTAGCTACCAGCCCCCACCAAATCTTATCTGGCAAAGGAGTTCAAGCCCTGGTGACGTAAGCCATAGCAACCAAGAGTCCCTAGCAACCGGAAGTGGAGGGGACACCTCTCGCAAACGATCGACGGACGACGTTTCGTCAGCAAGTCCGTCAGCAACCAATCGCAAAATTTCCGGCTCCATTGAAGACTTTTGAATATTTTTTCTTCGGACTCTTTCGCTTTTGGGCTCGATTTATCGGTTTTTGCTTCTGGCATTTTTTTTTTTTGTTTGATTCATTTTATTTGTGTTTTTTTTTTTAGATCGGCTAAATTGGACATTTAATAACACAACGACATCAAGCCAATCACAATAACCCGACCCCGAGTCGCGCAAGGTCAGGTCACTCGGTCACGCCAATTGACCTTGCCTAAGAATAAGACTCCTTTGGACCAAAAATCAAAGGAGTCTTTTGTGTATTCGGCTCCAGTAAGTCTTCCAGTCAATCCTGGAAACGCTCGTGGTGTGTCCTTTTCTTATTTCTATGTATACCTCGGTGGGTGGCTCCCGATGCGTAGCAAATTGCAGCTAGAACGAAGAGGATCTCGCTGTGGTACTAGAATTGCTCGCAAGCTTAGCGGTAGACATGTGCATGGATCCGAGTGATGGATCTATGATCCCAGTGGATCTTGAGGAAAATTGCAGGCCATGATCTATGATCCCACCGGATCCTGTGTGAAAAAATTACCCTGGATCTATGATCTCATAGGATCTGACGAAAAACTAAGAACATGGATCTGAGTGGATCCCGCCATGCACAACGTTTGAAACCAGGTTTCCAAGTGTTTCTATGTCAACAAGTGCCACAAAACTATGGATTATGACATGCAATCTCATAAAATCATTAAATCAGAACATTTGTGAGTTCCAACAAGTGATTTTTGGGATTTCTATGTTGACAAAAAACAAATGAGGATCTATGATCTCACTGGATCTCAAACAAAAAATTGGACTCGGATCGATGATCCCAACGAATCTCTCCATGAATTAAAGAGCTGGACCTATGATCCCGTCGGATCCGAGATCAGGATCCGTGGGATCAGATCCCAGATCCATTTTCTTGGATCCATGCACATGTTTGCAGTTAGCGGCACTATCTTCAATAATCTTGAGCGTCACCTTCCACGACTTCCGACAGTTTCCCGAAGCTGGGTATATTGCTGGGTTTAAAATAAGATTGACTGACTTCTTTTTTCTTCTGTTTTCTTTCCACTTCACAAAAGAAAACTGCTTCCTTGCCTTGCTGCCTGCGTTTGTGCGAGACTTTTAAGCGTCATGTATTTGATTTAATGCGTATTATCAAAATAAAATGGTTACCTTCTACGGATATTACATATTAATCACAATGACTTTATTGTTGTTTGCGCTGTTCGAGCAATCGAGATAATATGAGAAAAGTAGGTACCTCCCTAAGTGACAAGGCTGATCTGAACCAGGGGGATGTCGTCCCGGTTCTCCCCATGTATTATTCGCCAATCAGCTTAACACTACCAGTGACGTCACTGGTGGATCACCAATCGGGGCCGGCCGGCCGGCCGGGCCCGTAGGAGGCCAAACGCAGACGTTTTCAGAAAAGCGTAAGCCGTATAGATACAGTCGTGGATGGAGTTTTGCTGTGATTCGGCTCTCCAAGAGTGCGTCAGCGGACCAGGACCAGGATAAAGGTCATAGTGAACCGGCATCTGATAAAATCCGCTCACGGCTTAGCAGCCGACTTCGACCCTTCGCCCTCGTAAAATACAAACGCTTTCCGGTTATCAATCCACCTGCATCTCCTCATATGCTTACTGCCTATATCGACCAGTTACTGCATCCTGCATCCGTTTTGGAGCGGCTCACGGCCGATAGCACGCCGGGCGTGCGCTAGCCGCCGGTGCTAAGCGCTAACCATTGAGTGCGCGTGGCCGACTGCCGCCCCGATGGCGCTGGCCCCCGGCACCAACACCGGCGCGGCGCCCCCATGGGGGAGGGGGATTGCTAGAGCCGGAATTGGGATAGAAACCGGTATGGGATTGGGATGGAAACTCAGCGAGACTAAGGGATTGTGTTGTGCCTTCGGTAGGCCCCCAAAAATCACCGGTGTAGTGCCCTCAGGGCCGTTGGTTATGAAGCCTTTGGAGGCACTGGTGTCGGCCCTCAGAGGCATTGGTGCGGGGCCCTCTGAGGTGCTAGTGTGTGGCCCTCAGAGGCGCCGGTGAGGGTCCTCACAGTTGCCATTGTGGGCCCTCAGAGACACTGCAGTGTGGGGTCATCACAGTCGGGTGTGGGACCCTTAGAGCTTCTGGCTCGTACCTTTATAAGCCGACAGGGGCTCTCAGAGACCGACAAAGGGCCCTTAAGTGGTCTGCGGTGTCTTCAGGAGCCCTGTGGAGTCCTCAGAGACCAGCAAGGACTCTCAGACGCCGGTGGGGGCCCTCAGAGTCGTCGGTGCGGGGCCCTCAAAAGTCACCAGTGAGTGGCAGTCCGATGCGAAGGTCCCGTCTTAGGCCGTCAGAGGCTCCGGCGTTGAGCCCTCAGAGCCGCCGATATATGGCCTTAAGAAGCACTGGTTTGGGCCTTTGGAACTTCATTCAGGGGTGTCGGTTGAACTCAGAGGTGGCAGTGTGGGGCCCTCAGCTGGGCACCGCTTTGGGGCTTTCACAGCCGCCGGTCAGGGCCCTCGCAGGCGCCGTTGTGGGGGCCTTCAACCATTGGTTTAGGGGGTCATCACAGGCGTGTGAAGAACCCTTAGAGCTGCTGGTCCCTGATAGGCCGGTAAGGGCCCTCAGAGGCCGGCAAGTAGCCCTCGGAGGTCGCCAATGGGCCCTGAGAGGCCGGCAAGGGGCCCTCAAATGCCGACAAGGAACAATAAAAAGCCGGTGTGTTGCTCTTATGGAGAGAAGTGTGGCTATTGTGTGGCTATTCGGAGCACATAAGGTGTTCTTTCGAGCCCTGTGGGGCCTTCTGAGTCGAAAATGCCAGCGTGGACCCTCAGCCGCCAATTGGCGTCGCAGGGCCCCTCGGGCCCGAGAGGCCCCCTGATCCGACGGGGACACGTGCCCCCTGCCCCCCCCCCCCCTGCGGGTGCAGATAGAGAATGCAATCGGCGGTGCGGGACACAACAATTGCAATCGTTCCTTCTCCCGTCGCGAGGTCGCCCATCCGACCCATATATCCCAAGATTGTCAACCCTGGGGCTCGGGTCGGCAATGTATCGGCAAGAAAATCAGCTTTAGGTGGGTAAAAAAGTTATTAAGAGTCATAAGTTGTCGTTACGTTCAGTAATAGCAACGATAAAGTGCCAAATGTACCCGACGTACGGCTTGGAGCCGGGCGCCGCGCGGTCTCCACCAGTGACGTCACGCTAATGCTTAGCGACCGGTCCATTGGAAATTGCGGGATGATTCTACCTCTCTTATACGGCCTTGATCTGAACCGTGCTGCTAACAATAAAAATTAAGTGCACGCTCGCGCTTGTAAATACTCCGGATCCCCTCGAACTTATCCTGAATGCTGCTATAATATTGCTGAACAAATTTATAAATTCTGCAACAGAGACACATAAAAGCACCTAAAATGAAGCATTGCTTTATTTTTATATGAATGTCGCAGCTGCACCACTTGGGGAAATCTGCCAATTATAGTTTATCCCAGTATACCTGAGCTAGTATTATCCTAAATTGTTTTGTTCTCATTTACATGCTCTGTTTGCGTCAAATATCAAAACTGATGCATTAAATGCTATTTTGAATTTCCGGTTGTTACTTTCATAAAATCAGATATTTGAAACATGACGAAAAAGCTTTCGTTTCCATATAGTTTTAACTAGGGCTGTCTAGTTGAATACTATATAAATATACCAAGCCCCCGTGACGTCACAATCTGTCCAACCTTATGTTGTAGTAATCTTGGTAGCTACTAGCTCAGTGTTATCGGAGATCTCGTGCGCTATGGTCCAGGCATCCACCTCATGTGCCACGTAATTGCCCATAGCAAATCGTTCCCTGAGGCAGAAGTTGCGGAATTAAAGGCGAGTGATAAGAGTGAAGTTGTAACCTCAGCCAAATAGCAACATTGATACAAAGTATGGAACGTTGGCAGCGAAGCGCGATCAATCACTTAATAAATGGCTGTTACAGTCTACATCCGTTGTACTCCGATGGACATGAACAATATGATTTTTCCTATCTAGATAATGCCTCGTAATTTTGAGCAACCGTTGTTGGCTTTACACTTGTACCGAAGGCTGTGTATTTTTTTTTTTTTTTGTAACGTTACGAGTATGTGCCTTGTTTAGTGAATGTGATCACGTCTTTCCGTGCCATTACATGAAGTGTTGAGTTATATAGGTAATACCCGTTTGTTGTAGAGCTCTACTTGTGTCCACACACGCACATATGATGTGCGCCAATGGTAAATGCGTTCCCCATGACGTCATTTGTTCTATCACCCGTCTGTTGCAGAGCTGTACTCGTGTCCACACACGCACATGACGTGCGCCAATCACAAGTGCGTTCCTCATGACGTCATTTGTGACTTTGTCGACGACTGCGGTGACGGCAGTGACGAACTCCACTGCAGTAAGTGAGAAGCAACCGAAAATGTGTTCAACTTTAATATTTAATTCTATTTTGCGCAATGCTTGTATATGTTGTTGGCCCAAAATATTTCAGTTGAAGAGCCCACAAGGCTAATAGAAAATAATGACGTGTTGGATATAATGAAGGCACATTTTCACCCTTGTAAATGCATTGCGACTTTGGCTCAATATCATGCAGTTAAAGTTTTTCTTACAATACATTAAGTCAATCCTGAATCCCATCAATTGGCACATGTGATCTGTTAGGCAACTAGCTCCTAGCCTGCTGAGTAAGTAATTGAAGAGGTGCTTCTGGAATTCCTTGTCGGCAAACTTGGCAACCACGAATTTGATCACGTTCTTGCCTCTGATGAGTCTATCTCTGTCAGAGATGACTGGCCATTCGAGCGAGAGGGTTGGTTTGATTATATCAGAATTTATTGAAAATCTAATCGCCCCTTTATTTGCGATATCGTGCTTAGTAAAAGTGTAGGGATTACATAACATGTATCAGTCTTTACTGCCGAGTTCCGATGCTTGTTGCAAAGAAGATACATAACAGACTAATTGCTAACTGTCGTAAAAGCTTTTTGTTCTAAAATGTGATATTGCACATTGATAAATACCCGTTAAAAGCATCCACATGTAAGAACATTTGATCTGCGAAAACACCTTCTATGAAATTTGAAAACAATGGACGCTTTCTGGAATATGACCTGTCCGCAAATCAAAATAACTAGTTGGGGTCGATTACGGGAAAATAGGGACACTTGTCACTAGTGATCGAGTTGGCCTCATGTTTTTGCCTTTTGGGAGCTAAGATTTCTGACATGAGGAGGAGCGTTTTTTTAGGGATTTTGGTAAGGCTACCACTTAATTTGGTGAAATTCAGCATATCTAGACCATCTAGGTCGTCGTCAAAACTTGTTACAAACACTTATAGAACCTGATATATTACTGAACCACTTTTTGTTTAGGAAGACGTCAGTACCATGGCCCACAGAGGCAATTGCTCTATCACCAATCTATTGAATAAAGCAACGAGATCCTATTCTTATTCGATGCCACTGAATTAGCTTAAATACGTCACTAAACCGTTGAGAAGCCCTTACAAAAGCTTATGTTTAACGACTTAATATAGATGATCGACGATCGTCTTCTGTTTTTTATGCAACACAATATTCCTCTCATCCTCCAATTCTTAATGCAACCAATGAATTGGATAAATATGTCTCACTCGACCGCTACTGGGCTCACAGTTGCAGCGATTTCTCATATCATTTCCAGTGACGATAAATTACACAAAACACAATTATACTCGGTGCGTGCTATCCAATGACTTTGTTTTGCCACGCTGACTGAGGTGATGCTAATTGTTTGTCGTTTGGAGGCAGCGCTAACTATTCGTTGTTTATCGTTCGGTGCTAATTGTTTGTTGTTTATCACCACAGATCGTCGGAAGTGCTGGTTTGGAGAGTTCAAGTGCAACAGCGGCCAGTGCGTGCGACCGGCTGCCATATGTGACGGTAGACGTGACTGTCACGATGGTTCTGACGAGGCAAACTGCACTGAAGGTGGGCTAGCCGAAGGTGGTATTCACTGCAACTATAGTCTCTGTCTGACATAGCTAAGAAAGAACGAATTTAAAGTGCAACGGCTACTGATTCACGTGTCCCTTTAGATAACTTCCAAAACGCCCGAAATAATAAAGCACAGGTAGGCTACCTCCCCTTGCTATCCCCGATGTCCAATGCACAAGTTAAGTGCTTCGAGACGCTTTAGATCCGTTCTTTCTCAGGTTTTTCAGACTAAAGATGAGCGCATCGGAGAGGCAGCCGATACTATACGTTCACTGTGTGACGTTTGATGGCATTTAGGAGTGATCGTAATTTTCTGGAAGTTCTTCACAGCGAGAGAACAACTTATGCCCGTTGGACGTCCGTACAGCAGTTAACATACAAGTCTCATTCTGGAAACCGTATGCGGTAACGGCAACTTCCATCTTATAGTTCTTCTGAATGCTTGAGACGAGGTGTTAGTATCACTGATGTTAGTTGTTAGTTAGAGATTAGAGAGTTAGAGAGCGACGATACACTGCCCGAAAGAACGACAATCCCGACTGATGACATCATGGAACTCATGACATTCTGTGTCACCACCACCGCCTTCCAACTGGGCGATGACTACTACCAACAAACTGAAGGAATGGCCATGGGTTCACCCCTGTCACCGGTGATCGCCAACATCTACATGGAACACTTCGAGGAACTGGCCTTACAAACAGCACCACTGAAACCATCCCTGTGGCTGCGATATGTCGACGACACATTCGTCCTGTGGGACCATCGCGAGGACATAACACCGTTCCTAGACCACCTCAACAGCCTCCGACCCTCCATCCAATTCACAATGGAAACAGAAGTCGACAACAAACTACCATTCCTTGACGTCCAAGTGGAGAAATCTGAGGAAGCATTCAGAACATCGGTCTACCGCAAACCAACAGCGACCGACCGCTACCTCAACTTCAAGTCACACCACCCAGACACAGTCAAGAAAGGTATCGTAAGATGCCTGCAGACCCGAGCCACCAACATCTGTGGAGACGAAGCAGCCAGAAAGATGGAAATGTCACGCCTTACCAGCACCTTCAGGAGAAACGGATACCCAACGAGCTTCATGAAACACAAACCCAAGGAAGCATCCCAACAACAACCAAGGGATAAGCCCATCGCGACAGTATCCCTCCCATACAACAGAGGACTGTCAGAGAAGCTAAGGCGAATCTGCGGAGCATACAACATCAGGACGGTGTTCAGAAGTACCACCACCCTCCGCAGGTCACTCACAAAGGTCAGACCGCCAACCACCAAGGAGCAAACAAAGAACTGCATATACGACATCCCGTGCAGCTGCGGCAGGTCATACAAGGGCGAGACTGGCCGCCCACTGGCGGTCAGGCTCGAAGAACACAGGAAGGCCACCATCCGAGGCGAAACACTGAAATCCGGTGTGGCGGAGCATGCATGGTCTGAAGGAGATCACAGACCTGCTTGGGATGATACCACCATCATCGACAAGGAGCCACACTGGAAAATCAGAAAAATCAAGGAAGCCGCACACATGGCGCTGGCTAGCAACCCCATCAGCAAGCCAAGCGTTGACATCAGCCCAATATGGCTCCCACTACTAAGGAAATCACAAAAACATCTGGGGGCTAAATGACACCAAGTTTCCAGCTCCATAACGATGTCTGCCTCGATAGTGGAGTGGTTAGAACCGTGGACTATCACCGGGGAAACCCGAGTTCGATTCCCGCTGACTACAGGAGCTTTCGAACGGTATGACGCATACGGCGCAACGCCACCAACATCCAGGTCCTTCTAAGGGCCAAAGAACACCTGACGACGGCCGGAGAAGTAACTGGCCGAAACGTTGTGAAACTAACATCTCAACTCAAGACGGGGACGAAAGTCCGACGACTAACATCAGTGAAACTTCCATCTTCATTTCTCATGACTCCTGCACCATCAAATGACACTACAGGGAAGGCACGGGAAGACCAGCGGCGTGGGTTAAACTACACGGCACACAATTGTAACTACAATCCGATTCACTTTCCAACGCACTGAATCGGGAAACAGTTCGATGTCGATTAGCTTACAGAAAACCCGTTGCATAATATGCAGTTCCATAAAATCCGCATATAACGGACTGTTCTGTGAAGTATATCCTTTATAGGAGTGGTCATGCGTATATATAGTTCAATATGAGAGGCTCTTTTTATATTGGAAAGTCACTCGATAGACTGTTGTAAGGCCTATGGGGTACTTGTATAAGACTTTCGCGATAAACCCTTACTTTGCAAAGCCTGAGTCTCTGCATATACATTTTGTTATGACGGTTGTCATGGAGTAAAATGTGCTGACACAGTGTTATCTGAAGTTGTGTTGCTCATTTAGTATTTCTGAAATGTATTTTTGTATGATTATCGGCGGCTGTGCTTGACCAGCTTAACCCTCGCCGGACCTATTGGTTTTCTACATACGCGCCGGCCGAGGGGGGGGGGGGGCGGGTACGACCCCCCCTCGCCGTTTTGCCCCTGGTGGAGCTAGCGCGTCGCGGAAAAAAACGAGCGTGTGCGCCGTTACGAGACGCAGAGATTGGTACCCGATTTTAAGGTCCTGGGTCAACCGGTGACCTCTGAGGTCAGGTCAATTGCCCCAAGGTACGGTTCAGTTTTTGGTGAATAACTTCGCAAAAAACGGCCGCAGAGCGCCGATTTTGGCAGCATCGTGTTCGCCTCGCTCAGACGCGTCGAATGATATACTTTTTGTCCGGGTCAGGTCAACTTGGGGTGTTGACCTCAGGTCAAGGTCAGGTCAGCACCCCCAGGTCACGAAGTTGGTCGAAAGAGGTCATGTCGCATATCATTCGATTCGGAAGGCCTTCCTGAGTCCATTGGTGGCTTTCCCGACTCGCTAGCTCAATTTGATCAAGAGTTATTGACGAAAAACGAATATGACCTTGATGACGTCATAAATGACGTCACGCAAGGTCAACATTGCAAAAGTAACGCATCTAACCTTGCAAGGAGTGAATCAAATCACGATTCTGTGTGCTTGAGATAGTTGGAGATCGTTCCCGGCGCCAGAATAGCAGTTTTCATTTTTCCCCATTGACCTATAATGGTGAGGTCACGAAAATGACCTGACCTCATATGACCTTTAGGAAAAATCCGAGATATACAAGTTGTGGGACTCATAATGGATACTAGATTCTGCAAATTTCATTTCCCTGTGACATCTCCTCTGGCAGTGAGGGCGTTGCGAATTTGCGACATCTGAAGACCGTGCAGAGGTTCACTTATGACGTCATAGGTCAGTGACCTGACCTGACCCAAAAATGCGGTTGGTGTCAAAAGATCCGGCTTGGATCAAAGGTCAGGTATGCCAAGTTTCAGCTCTCTATCGCCAGCGTGTTCGGAGCTATCGCGAAAAAAACCTATGGGGGGGGGGCGGCTGCCGCCCCCCCCCCCCCTCGGCCGGCGAGGGTTAATAACGCGAAATACCACATGATGAAAGAGTAGGTGTCACAGGTACAGTATATATGACACGGATGTTTCTCAGATTCCATTATTACATTGTTTATGCCACCGGTTTATGAGTTGGCCATTTACAGTGGATCTGGGTGTAGTTAGGTAGAACCACACAGGCGGTAAAAAGCATCGCTCTGCGCCCGCAAATTCACGTAGAGAGGCGACGAGAGAAAAACACCTAAACGTATAGCAAAGCAACACATACCACATATAATTATATGGTACCGCGGCACATTCTATGAAAGTTCGCTATTATCTTTAGTACCGAGGTTACGGTCTCTGGGGTAGGTATTTATCGCGACTGACCGAAGCGTCAGAGGTGGGGCTCAACACGACCCCCTCCGACCGACTGTGGGATTCTCTCCGCAGTTTAGAGATCACTGAGCCAGGTCGTGTGCCGGTGAACCATAACGGCCGGGCTCGGTTCGAGTGAGCGTCTCGCTCGATGAGTTTTTAGTGGTATATTTGAGCGACTATGGCTGAAATATAGAAAAGTTTGGACGATCTGAAAGACCTGCAGAGTCGGCAAAAGAGAAAGTTTTCAAATTCCTCTTATTTAGACTCTCAATGCTTCAACGTGAAAAATCACAGCAGCTGGCTTTATTGATCGTTTAACCCGGCAGGCGGTGGGCCTCCCAGCCACCTTCCGCGCGGTGGGGGGGGGGGGATTTTTGCCCCCCCCCCCGTATCTCCGAAACTACTGGACGGATCCGGACAATTCAAACGGCGTTCGATAGCCCTGTCAAATTTGTCGAGGGAAACCAAATTTCATTGACCTCGGGGTTACCGATGACGTCACAGGTCAGGTCAAAGATAAAATGTTTCACCATTCACGGGGCTTCTAGGGAAAGCGCTATAACACCGAGTAAAACGCATTTTGTCGAAAATCAGCGATAAGGCGTCTGTTGTCTAGTACATATGTTGCTATTAGAGGTTACTGGTCATACCAGGTCAGGTCACAGGTCAGGTCACCAAAGGTCACCAAGGAGTGTACGGCGGTGCAGCCTACCCACTGTCCAGCACCCACTATACACAGCGTATGGCATCAGGGCTCTTTGGCAACATCAATGCAGAAAATTGTCGCATAATGTGCTCCCTCCCTCCCTCCCTCCCTCCCTCCCTCCCTCCCCCCCTCTCTCTCTCTCTCTCTCTCTCTCTCTCTTTCTCTCTCTCTCTCTCTTTCTCTCTCTCTCTCTCTCTCTCTGTCTCTCTCTCTCTCTCTCTCTCTCTCTCTCTCTCTCTCTCTCTCTCCCTCTCCCTCTCTCTCTCCCTCTCTCTCTCTCTCTCTCTCTCTCTCTCTCTCTCACATCAGCACTCATATAATTTGGTCGTTTTGTAATTTGATGTTTCTTTTTCTATTTCCTTTTTCAACCACAAGTGCTAAATAAATGTCATCCTTACCTGCACCTAACCCCTGTGTGGATTTCTGCAGCTGATTTTGTCACGTGCGGTAATGGTGGACGGGTGCACCGCGGTTACTGGTGCGACGGATGGCCAGAGTGCGGCGACAACCATGCCGACGAGGCACGCTGTAAGTTTGATATCACAACCAATCAGCGCAGCGGCTGGTCAACTTTACCGGGGGCATACCTATGGTGTACTCGCTAATTGAAGGAGGTTTGCATGCTCGTCTGATTTAAAGTAATGAATATTCTCATCGGTGCAAATGATCGCCTTTGTCTCCCACTACATATTTACCGCTTTACGAAGAAACATTGATATCAACTCCAGTAAGAAATTCTCCTTGTGAGCCGGTTTAGGCTTCGTAAAACTTGCAAGTCACTGCTGGGACACATGCAGCACGTTTTACAGCATGGTGGTCAGCATTTTTAGTTGAACGTTTATTTCTCCATTCCCTACACCGGGAGCCACGACCCTATATCGGAGCTACCACTCCTATCAGCCCTATCTTCCCCTATTGTCCCCGTCCACACGGGAGTGACTGACTCCCCCCCCCGCCGCCCCCCCCCCAGGCGGCCCGTGCGGCACCCACCAGTTCCGGTGCCCCAACGGACGCTGTATCCGCTCCTCCGCTGTCTGTGACGGGGTCTGTGACTGTGCTGGATCCTGCGACGACGAGCACAGACCGGAGTGTCGCGACAAGTATCACACCGTCAACGGTGAGTTAGTTAGGGCGGCTCCGGTCGGGGTCGGGTCAAGTCGGGTCAAGTCGGGGCAAGTCGGGTCAGGTCAGATTGGGTCGGGTCGGGTCGGGTAGAGTCGGGTAAATTGGGGTCTGGTCGGGTCTGGTTGGGCTCCATCCGGTTGGATACAGATGCAAGCATCATTCCATATATTTATTTTTTCAACTATGCTTCGGCATCCCGCGCTCGTGAAGACTCATCTAGGATATTCTCTGACAGAAAACATGGCATAAAATAAGTACGCTGTCATGAGCATCAGCCTCTGGACGTGCCTCCAGTAGGCGTGTAATAACCCCCGGTGCTCTGAGTACGGTTCCATCAGCTGCCGCTCCGTTGGCCGCTGGGGCATTCCAGGACAAAACGACCAATTTTTTTTTTTTTAAATGACACCCTTATATTTTTAAAAATTCTGAAACTTTGTGTATTGGGTAATCTGACACGCTGGAGACGGTTCTGCCAATATTAGACCTCTCCGACAAAAGGTCACAGAGTTATAGCCTCCGGCATTTTGGAGAGGTCACCCTAAAGACCAATCTTTGAGGGCATATATCTCAAAGAAAAAAATTTTAGGTATGAAAAATATATACCGATGGACTCAAAATTGATCAAAAAAGATTTTGGCTATCTCGAATTTTTTTTTCAAAAAATTTTCAATTTTTTTGATTTTGTGACCAATTTTTCAAAGACCTGGCTCGACCTCTTCCTCATCGAAATTGTACTTTTCGTCTATAGACAAAATGTTTTTTGATCAGTTTTCTTTCGATAGAAAAAAAATAAAAAAAATGGGTTCTGCCTTTAAAATATATTTTTCGCCACACATAGATGGCGCTGCTGATGCTGTTTTCCTATATTATTACGGAATTTAGATGATAAGATACAGTTCATGACAGATACGTGTTTTCTAGCAACAAATAAGACACTGTGACCCTTTTGAGTGACTATTTAACCTTCGAGGCGGTGGGGGGGGGGCATTTTTTGCCCCCTTTGGTTTTTTCGATATATCTCGAGAACCGCTGCGCCGATCGTCACCAAACTTTCAGTACCCTCCCGGGAGTAGCTAGCGCACATGGTGACCAAAATTTTTTTCCAAAGGCTATGATAGGTTGGCCGCTAATGACGTCAGAGTGACGTCATTTCTGCCATTTTCGACCCAAAAAAAGGTTTCGCGGGAAGAGCTGTCAGGCCTACAGCTTTAGAGATACAGAAAAATGTTTTATTAATAAAAGGTGTGGAATCAAGAGGGCTACAAAACTGCTATATCGGTTTTTCGATTTTTTTTATTTTGACCCCCAAAAATCAAAAAATAGATTTTTTGAATACAATAGCCGAAAAATCCAAAATGTTTTTTGAATTTCGAAGAAAACGGAATATATGTGATAGTCCCTACCGCTTTCTATCTACATACCAAATTTGAGATCGATACCTCTTTTTTTTGGCCAAGTTATAGCGAAAAAAAACTTCAAAATTGATGACGTTAAATTTTCAAACTCAATTTTCAGCAATTCTAGACCTCGTAACGCAACACAAAGACCACCATTAGACTCCCCGTGACGAGCTGCATCGAATCAATACCCATTTTATGCAAAAATATCAACTTTGAAATTTGACCTTTTTTACCTGACCTTGACCTGACCTGCTGACCTCCACCAGAAAGTGACCTATTCCGTACCTGATAGTCTTATAACCAACACCATTGAGTTGGAAATGAAAAACTGGCCATAAAACATGCATCGCACAACTTTGGTAAACTTGGGTTCATGTGGTGACCTTTGGTGACCTGACCTGTGACCTGTGACCTGACCTGGTATGACCAGTGACCTCTAATAGCAACATATGTACTAGACAACTGACGCCTTATCGCTGATTTTCGACAAAATGCGTTTTACTCGGTGTTATAGCGCTTTCCCTAGAAGCCCCGTGAACGGTGAAACATTTTATTTTTGACCTGACCTGTGACGTCATCGGTGACCCCTAGGTCAACGAAATTTGGTTTCTTTCGACAAATTTGACAGGGCTATCGAACGCCGTTTGAGCTGTTGTTGGGAAACACACTTTGATCATCATCTGCATCTTATTATCTCAATTCAATAATTATTCAGGAAAAACAGCGTCAGCAGCGCCATCTATGTGTGGCGAAAAATATATTTTAAAGGCAGAACCCATTTTTTTATTTTTTCTATCGAAACAAAATTGATCAAAAAACATTTTGTCTATAGACGAAAAGTACAATTTCGATGAGGAAAAGGTCGAGCCAGGTCTTTGAAAAATTGGTCACAAAATCAAAAATTTTGAAAATTTTCAAAAAAAATTCGATGTAGCCAAAATCTTTTTTGATCAATTTTGAGTCCATCGGTATATATTTTTCATATATAAAATATTTTTTCTTTGAGATATATGCCCTCAAAGATTGGTCTTTAGGGTGACCTCTCCAAAATGCCGGAGGCTATAACTCTGTGACCTTTAGTCAGAGAGGTCTAATATTGGCAGGGCCGTCTCCAGCGTGTCAGATTACCCTATACACAAAGTTTCAGAATTTTTAAAAATATGAGGGTGTTCGGCTGTGGTTGAGCTGTCCTGGAATGCCCCCGCTGTCAACGTGTTGCACCAGCGCTGTTCAGTGTTCAGTGAGGTAAAGTTGATGTCAGGTTAGATGTATCTTCCAGTGAGGGGACTGACTTCCGTCCATACTTGGTGACGTGTCGCCTCGCCTCAGTCTTAGTTATACTAATGGAGTGCACCGTAGCTCCTGTGCACTTGTGTAGCTCTCTTATATAACGTGGCATTATTTACGGGATCGGGGAAAGCACAATGTAGTTATTTAGCATCGTTAAAAAAACATCAACTGCCGTCGAGTTAACCCTATTAGTGGCAGGCTCCTGGCTACCCCCTATTAGTGGCAGGGGGGGGGGGGGCTGTTTACGACCCCCCCTTGATATCTCGAGATCTAACGGGCCGATTTTCAAAATTCAAACGGCATTCGATTTCGCTCAACGTGATCTACATTTCTAAAAAATAAAAAGTAAAAAATGTCAATAGGGGGGGGGGGGTAGAGGGGGGTAAAAACGGGCAAATTGCAGATACATTTTAGACTGTTTATCACGGCCAGGTTTCTGAACCAATCTTAACACAACTTTTGCCGATCGATAGAGAATGAACCAGGAATTCACATGGATCCTAAAAATATGCATTTTCAAAAATCATAGGCGGATACAGATCATTGAGATTGGGGGTACACAAAAAGTATAGTAAATAAGGTTTTTGTTGGTACTGTTTCTAAAAAGGGTGGTAATGGTCTTGTTATGTTATAATTTTCTTATGAGAGAACGCCTAAAATTGTATTGGTAATGCATAGGCGGTGTCAGGGCACCTATGTTGGGAGGTAAAACATAACCCCCCTTTTTGGACGCCTGGATCCGCCTATTATAGCAAAAACGTGTCAAAAGAGGATGCACAATAACTGTATATGTTATCACATGATACCTTTTATTCACTGTTCGTAAAACTGGTGCAGCATCGTGATCTTCGCCCAAATGACTCGCTTCACGAATAGGACCCCCCAATTCCCAGTGCTCTGGAGCTGCCCCTGGTAAAGTTATGAACTTGAAATTTTCAGGGAATGTGCCCAATTTAGTTTTAGGAAAAGCCAGAAAATTTCAGCATCGTAGCTTCAGCGGTTTTGGAGATATTCCCGAAAAACCTGAGGGGTGGATAAAAACAACCCCCCCTGCCACTAATAGGGTTAATCATGCCAACCATCTAATGGTCTTTGTGTGCTGAGTCATAAATTGATTTGGCACATGGCAGCACACTTGATGTGTGCTATTTTCTTACAAGAAGTTATGTAACTAGCCCTTTATTCACCCGGTTGGTAAGGTACTTAAGCTTTTTGAGAAATTACCAGTACATAAATGTACTTATCGTCATATTTGTTAGATATATATTCAATATTCTACACCACTCTGCAATGTTCCTGTAAGAACAAGACGGTTTTTTTGACCATTCCTCTTCCCATAAAATTTCAAACCACATACCTACCAAGCATACGGAAAAGATGCTTCGCAATATACATATTTTGTTACTTGGAACATACATAGAAACATCAATATCTTCGACCATGAAAAAAATCAATGGGTATAAATTGATAGCCTTTTGCGCCGGCTACCAATGTATACCCATTGATTCTTTAGGCACATGATTGCTTAAGTGTACATAATCTCAGCAAAGTGTATACTGTATTGCTTTATGGATTTTCGGAAATTGGCCTGGGAACGCCTCCGGCCATGGCTTACCAGTTATTACATCTGTCCTTAACTCACCAAAATGACTCTATTTATTTATTACAGAGGCTCCGACTACCGCTGGCTTTGTTTCTAATCTTATTTAGGATAGGTATTAATATCGTTCAATATGGTACATGATCCGGCCAACAGGAAAAAACTACCAGGGCAGAGTTCTACAAGATTTATTGTGATCAGGGCTTGTAGTCGGTGGGCCCACAGCAGTCGCAGACCGTGATGACCGTTATAACTGTGGGGACAACGGACGAAAGGTGTAACACATCCGGCACATAACCAATCGCCGCAGTAGGGGGTAGCACATGAACGAGCGAACAGATCATGTTGGTTACTCAGAAACTGAACTCAAACTCTAAGCACCGCTCGTTTAAATATACCAGACTGGCTGATTAAGTAATCCAATCACACAGTATCGCGCTGTCTAACCAGTGCCAGTAGTGCCTATCGAAGAGATATAAGTGAGACTCACTTCGTCCGGGATTGTGAGTGGTCGTGCGTGCAGTCAATGTGGCTACCAAGCACAGTAGTCAGCTATCAGAGGCAAGGCACACATATGCGACACCTGAAAGACAAATGCCAGTCAAAAACAAATCCGTATATCTTGATGCGGTTAGCCGCTGGGGCGGGAACATGGCTCCCCAAAATTACGGTACTTATACCTAATTTTCCAACACTTTTCCA